AATAACTAAGGAGTCCGGGTTAGTCCGCTCCACACACAGTATCTGGTCGGCGAGCATGCGCTGTGCCTCCTGCACGTTGGCCTGTGCTGTTCCTCCTGTACGTTGGCCTGCAGTGGAATGTAACCACATTGTGCAGGTTAATGGTTAACAGTTCAATCAGCAGAAGTGGGATATACTGGGTGCTGTGGTGTTGTGGAGTCGGATGGCTGATGGAACAAATGAGCCTCCGAAGCCCTTTGAAGCACAGGGCTGGATCAGTCTGTGGCTGAAAGTGCTCCTGAGCTGCCTAAGCTCAGCAAAGAGAGGACAAGAGAGGTAGTCGATGATGGCTTTCAGCTCTCATCCTTTTCTCAGTCACTGCCACCGAGCTGGCCTTCTATACGTTAAAGCCATAGGCTGAAGTCGTTGAGATCCCTGGAACATCCCTTTTTGGAATCAGGGACTATGCGGGATGTCTTCCAGGTCTTCGGCACCTTATTCAACCTCAGGGAGAGGTTAAGAAGATGCTATAACGCTCCTGCCAGCTGCTCTACACTCACCAATTGTTTGCAAGTCTGAATTATGGATGACATGCAATTATCCTGTTTTTACTTTCTAAGATCCCAATCTTTGTTACAAAAAAGGGGGTAGGGTCTAGAGAGTAGTTATTTTGGTAATGTCACACTCTTGTTCAAGTTGTCACTTTCGCCACTTGGACCAATTACATGACTCACAATGTGGCAGGTGCAACTGTGATAAGAATGAAAACTATGTACTTCTTCTGTCTTTTTCTCTCTGTTATCATTCTTGATGGGACACACACATACACACACACCCCGTTGTCACATCTCTGGGTCTCTTGTCTCCCCTCCTGTAATTGAATCTTTCACTGCAGGTTCACAAACTATATTTTCAGTCCTGCAGCCATCTTTTTAAACACTAGCTATGTTGTCAAATTGAAGAGGACTTGTTTCAAAGCCATCACCTTCTGATGTCCTTTTGTGTCTAGGCTACCTTTACTGAATGTGTGTGATTTGAAGGCCTAGAGTTACAATCTGAGCTGTCTAACCATTACATGTTTGAGTTTCAAAGGTTGAGGATTTATTTAATTCAATCTTACATACACAAAATAAAATTATAGCGATACCATCATTATCCGCAATTAAAAAGATAAGATAAAAGGTAAGAAATATAAAAAAAACCAAAAAAACTCTCAGATTC